GGAGCTCTGGTTAAAAATGTCGAGATACAGATATAAAATTTTTTTTAGTGGAGGCTTCCATCATGTCCATGAGGTTGATCTTTTCCCTCATGGACATGATGGAAGCCTCCACTAAAATATTTGTCAGATAATATGTAAACAATACATTTATGTTTTTTTCGCACAGTTAAGACAGACTAAACAGTCCCTAAACTCAAGTTTATAAACAACCTACTCCCCCGACAGACGAAGTTGAAGTGTGGATTTTTTTGTGACCTCATTATTTTGTAAATACTATCAATGCCGTTGAAAATGAGCAGGCTAAAATGAGCTACCTACATTGAAAACCTTAAATATATATTTTCTAATATAAACCCAAATATATCTTTTTAATACACATGATACGTTGTACGAGTACTTTATTAAATGGCTTTAGTTGTTTGCTACAATATGACTGAACGAATACCAATCCTTAGTGATTAGCATCTAAAAGTAGAATTGCATTTAGAATTTTATTCATTTATGTACTTTTTAAAAAAAAATGTATTTAATTACCTATGATCTTCGAGCATCCTTTTGCGATCTACTGGTATATCACGATCTACCTAGTGGGCAGTAGTACGAATACCGTAGTTTTCGGACTATAAGGCGCAATTAAAATCCTGCGATTTTAGCTAGTTTTTGACCCATCCGGCCCGATTTTACGTTTTGTCTGGCGTCTTTTTTCGTACAGTGTACAGGGGGTAACGAGGGCCAATTATCTGTTCCCGAACCACCGTCGGACGGTCAGAAGAATTTCTGACATGTCAAACATTTTGGTCGGCCGACAAATTTTTCGCGCAGTGGAAGCAGAACCCCGAGCCGACCGGAGCATTTCTCTCTCAGTGCGCCTGCGCAAAGTGATAGTCACCATGGCGACGCGTCGGTGTCATGAAAATATGGAGGCGAGATTGATAGAGCTATGGCACTGTGCACAAAAAACGTAATAAATAAACACCACACTGTCCACGTTTATTGAGCCATCTCTCCACAATAAACAATAAATAAACAATGTCTGTCCACGTTTATTGAGCCATCTCCGACTCCAGATGCGCCGGCGCCTCTTTTTTTTAAAATTTTCAGCGCACAGAATCGCAGCAATCATAATGGCAGCCTTCTTCTTTTTGAATAGCATGTTGCTAATAACCGGCGTCGGAGCTTTCAAATAAATCTTTATTGACAGCTGTCAATAGACAGGACAGTCAGCAGGGGCCAGTGTGGGCTCTCTGGTCGTATGTTGTAACTCAATGTTGTGAGTTATTTTGATTGAGTTGAATAAAGTTTGACTTATCTGACTGTTTTGTTTCGCCTAATGCGCCTTATAACCCGGTGCGCCTCGTGTATGAAAATAGACCCGTTCATTGATATCGTGCCTTAAAATCCGGCGCGCCTTATGGTCCGAAAAACATGGTATATACCGTATAACCGAAATCCATAACCTACCAGATGAACAAATATTTATGATATTTATATCAAATTTGAATAAGAAGTCAACGTTTATGATTTGACTCAGGCAACCGAGACTTAAATCTGGCGATTCAGAAAAAAGGGAAGCGGAGATGAGGTTGACCAGAGACAACCACATGAACTGTTACGCATACAAACACAACGTACCGAATAAAAAGTGGTAAAAGAGTGACTATGGGCTGTGGCCACAATTGAGGAACACAGAAAGAAAAGGACTGTTTCCACTTGGACGTGACGGTCTTCGGGAGTCTGCAAAACCTCGAGGTAAACTCTCTCCTCCACATTTCTTTTCTCGCAGCCGTTTATTCGCGTCGAGAGTATCTGCCCGTTGCAGCGCCAGCCGACACAATGCACATGTGGTAGTCATCAATCATAATTATCATGGTTTGAAAAAGCCACAGCTGTTATTTGATTTTAAAAACAAGCCACAGTGCAGCTCCGTCCAACGATACGTCAAGTTGTCAGCGGAGGCCTTGGCCTGCGCAGCAGATACGTCTCTCTCTTTAAGCTGTGTTCAAACCTTCCCCCGTGACTCACCACGGAGCATGTGTCTATATTTTTAAGCATTTTCTCTCTCTCTTTCTTTTTGTACTCATTCTGTAAGAAAACAGCGGCTGCTACAGACATCACATAACATTTGTTTACGGCTTCTTTAATGGAGTCTCATCTCCGGCCAGAGAGCATTCTTTTGGGACAGAGGTGGGATCAAGTCCTGGCTTTGCAAGTCCCAAGCAAGTCTCAGGTCTTTGCACTCGAGTCCGAGTCAAGTCTCAAGTCAAGACAGGCAAAGTCCGAGTCGAGTCCAAGTCAAAACTGAAAAGCGTCAAGTCAAGTCCCAAGTCCTGCCGTTTCTGTTTCGAGTCCTTTTAAACAAAATAATAATATATTTACACAGATCACTTTGGGTTTTGGAGAAAGTATCAAGTCTTGTCGAGTCAAAGGGCTCAAGTCCAAGTGAAGTCACGAGTCATTGATGTTAAACTCCGAGTCGAGTTGCAAGTCTCTTTACATTTTCTCAAGTCGAGTCTAAAGTCATCAAATTCATGACTCGAGTCAGGCTCGAGTCCAAGTCATGCGACTCGAGTCCACATCTCTGCCGCGGTATGTTTGCTTGAAAGAAAGCATTAATGAGAAGTGTGGTCACAGAGAGGCCGCGTTACAAATCTCTGATCCTCTTATGTTACAAATTTTTTTTTTTTTTTAGATTTTGAAGCATATTTATGTGAGACACAGTTATGACAGGAGTCACACTCAGAGAGACAACATGGCTGCTTTCAAGTACAGCAGGAAAGACCATGGGCTCGATAGGTTAAAAAAGCTAACGCTGAAAAGCAACATAAGCCCTTAGCAACAGTAAGAAGAGTTTGGAACCCGTTTCACGTCAACTGAGTTATTAATGAAATTGAGTTGACTCGACTCAATTTCATTTGTTCAGCCCGAACCTACAAAACATATTTGTCTCAATGGACTGCAGTTTTTAAATAAGCACTTTTAAGTGACTTAAAATGTCCTTCTAAAACGTACGGTCAATCAAAGTTTCGATTAACAACGGGTGGTATATATCAGGTTAAATATTGAAAAAAAAAAAAAACTTCTTTGGAGGTGAGCTGTAACTGAATTTACCCACTCCCCACCCTTGCTTTCTGGTTTCCATGGTAACTTAGATGTCCCTTCCGTTAACTTCCATCTATAATCAGAGCAATTGCGTATTACATTTGTTGTCATTTATTTCACTTACAACCGGCGCTTTCTGTTGTAAAAACCGACGATCTGACTTGAAGAGGCAGTGTGTCGGGTGCCGGAAATGCCAGGATAGGTCCAGCATCAAGGGAGCTGATGATCCCAAGCTAAGTTAAGTCTTCTGGGACAACAATTCTGTTCGGGACGGCCCGATCCTCAGAATTGTTATCGATACAACACTGGTTAAAATTTCAGAATCGACCATACAAAAAAAAACTTAACTAAGTGACATGCTATAAAAAAAGTACTCCATTGCCCCAGCTCGCAGGATACTGGAGGAGGACAGGCGGTATAATAAATAATAATAATAATAATTGATTTTATTTATGATACCATCCCAGCAGCATGGTAATTATAGAAATACAGGCAGGGACTAATGAAACCAGAAGATAACTTCTTTACTATCTTCCCTTAAGCTCCAAGAATGTTCACTCTGGAAGTACAGTATGTGTCCTTGAGTGACACCTTGGACCCAACCTTTTGCCCCCCCGCCCCCCAACCCCTCTTCCCGGGCCTGCAGTTAAACCTCTAGAGTGGGGGGGAAGAAGGAATGGCATCTGTAACAAGAAATTCCTGTGCGAAGAAACCAACCTAGCATTATTCTGCGTTCACAGGAAAGATATTTAGTGTCAAGGAAGGGCGTTAAAAAAAGACAACATAATAATCTGACCTATAAAAAGACAAAAAAAAATGTATGTACATTGTGGGCACACAAAGAGAGGAAAGATACAGAGAGAGAGAGAGAGAGAGAGAGAGAGAAATTGAATAGCTTTAGAAATCTATAGATAATCATGGCTGAACTTGACCAATTTTAACAGTCTTTCTTGTATGATTCGAAGAGTAATTGTGTAGATTCGTGAAGTTACGTTAGAGTAATCACTATTCAGGGTTGTGGAGCAAACTCGTGAAAACGTGTACATCCTTTTTGTAAATCTGCAAAATCTACACGCACGCAAGCCACAGCATTCAATGGTTGCCTTTACAAACAAACAAAGTGTGTCAAACGTCCAGATAGCGAAAGGACTTCTGAGAGCATAGTTTACACTCACTCACAGGGTGGTCTGGCTTTGAGCATTAGTTATTTCTCTCTCTCTCTCTCTCTCTCTCACACACACACACACACTTGAAGCGACTCCTTTAACCCAAATGGCCTCGGACGTAGAGGCAAGGTGACGTAACACCTCTGTCATGTTCATTTGTTCATTGTTTTTAAGCAGAGAGATTTACGTGACTCAGACCAGGAGGTTCGATGTATTTTCTGCCACAGCAAATCACCTGGGCGTGTTCATGTGCCTGCTGGATGTGTACAGGCATCCTTCTTCTCAACAGTCACAGTGAAATTGAGTTTATCCGCGTTAGAACTACGAACACTCGATGGAAGGTAGGGGTAAATCCGAGAGAGGAAACAAAGAGGAAGGGGGGGGGGGCTGAAAGAAAGACAAAGTCAAGGTCAGGTACAGAACGGTTTCGAAAGACATCTGGAACAGAGAAAGAGTGACCGGGATTAGGAGGGAATTACGGTTGGCCAACAATGATTAATTAAGGAATGTTCCTCCTCTCCATCTCTACTTCAACTCCTTCTATTCGTCGTACGTATCCCTCAAATGTCCTACCCGTGTCCTACTCCCACGCCGCACGATCGATCGCCACGTTAGAGACGTGTTTAAACACCTGTGGCAGCTACGCATGTAACTTTAGGAAAACTTTTATAATTGTTGATTCATTCCTTGGTTTCTAACATTCCACTCCTTTTTTTTTTTTTTTCCTTTCCCCAGGGATTTAAGTATGAACAACATCAGCGAGATCCCGCCCAGGGCCTTCCACCGCCTGCACCTGCTTTCTGAGCTGTGAGTACTAAAAATAAATGAATAAATAAATAAATTAAAAAAACTGGAATGATTGATGAGAAATAAAATGACTGCTAGGAATCAATGACTCCAGCCTGGCTCTGAGCTCTTAGCTCTCCCACTGAGATACTGCCTCTGGACATGGTCCTGTGTATATATATATATTTATATGGTTGGATGATCTGTGTATAAAACAAGAGTGGAGAGGAAGAGGGGAACCAGGAACCAGATACTCACTATTAGAGAATATATATATACATATATACATATACACATATAACATATACAGTTTGTCTACATTTAGTACATGTAAAAACAATTATAATAATTATAACCACTCATGGTTGTGGGGGAGTTTAAAGAAAATACTATTTTATTTTTACCAGTAAAATACCAGTACTTACCATTCTATAAACAAACTTCCTACTTTGGAAACAAATACACTTGCCAGCATACCAGGCCCTAAACGTAGCACTTTTAAAAACACAGTCTGGAAATTGTATTAGATTATTAGTATTTCTAGCAACCATATTTACATTCATAGGATTGGATGTAACCTTGTGTTTTTCACTGACAAACACACGAGGCCTTTGGGTTCACCTTCTGTTAAGTGACCCACCTGGACAGCACGACGTCAGCGGCCGACAACAGTCACAAAACCTTATGAATAAAACCTGTGCCTCTCTAAATTACAGTGAAAACATCCTCGTCATAAATCAACGTGACTCAATGACATCAACCGAGGCCAGGTTACTATGGAAACGAGAGCTCAAGATTGGTCAAAATTAGCCAAATGCGGGATGCTTACAACAGTATGACCAGATAAAGGGTTGAAAACCAAGCTCTTGCATTACGTGACAGAGAGCTAGTCCAAATTCGTGTCAAGTAAGCTGCAATATTTCGAGTAAGGCCTACTCCGGTGGATGGCAGCCGCTCCACTTCCTGGAGAGCCGCCATGCTAACGCACAGCTGCACCGAGCGTCCATATCATCCTAAAAAACATAGCCTAAATCCTGACGTTGAGGAACATCTCCGACAGGTGTCAGAGCTGACAAAAACACAAAATCAATCGCTTACGAGAGGAGTATTTGTCTTTATCCGCTGTGGCTCGTCCTGTCCATGACATCAGCTGTTTTTCCGGGTGTATTGGTTTGGTTGGTGGTGGAGAGAGAGGACGGTGGCGCGCGCTCTTGGAAATCACATCCACGGCAACAGCAGCGGAGACGCGCAGCCGTCAGTAACCATGGCAACACTTCCAGGTTCCACAAGCTGCTGCATCATGGCAATATTCACAGCCACGTCTTTTCCCATTTACGTAGCTTAAACTGTAAACAACAACAATAATAAACAATAATAATATTTCTGATTTAAGATTTTCCAAAGGAATGCAAAATTCAAGAAATGTGTCATGGAAATTGCAACAAAGGAAAGGTTTATGGCCTGCTTCAATGTATTAGGAGGCTGTGGGTAGAGGTCAACCACCAGTTAGAAGGTCAGAGTCTGACACACTTCTTTGCAGTTATTTCCAAAGGCAATTCCCCAGGCAAGAACCTTTGTAGTCATCATATTTGAAATTAATCCAAAAACAGGAAGTTCCAAGATACATATTGCCAATAGTGACGACTTCATAAACAAGTTGCAACAAGAAAGAGGTATCCTCGATGTTTAGTTGGTGGGGCCATCACCACAGGACGCACAGTATTTCTTAAAATTCGAAATTGAAAGTAGCACATAAGTGTCCTTGGGTGACAGAAAGGCACCTATAAAATAAAATGTATTATTATTATTATTAAAAACTTTCAAGGACAGCAGCAGTCTTTAAAGGAAATGTCATTAAGTGCTGATTTAAAGAAATCATATACAGTGAATGACTAATTGTGGCAATTTACCTACATTGATTTTGTACGATACTACTACCATAATAATAATAACCCTATATACACATCAAGAGGAAAACTTGATGCAACAAAAGAGTGAGAGAAACTGCCCTCACCAAACTCACAAGAAACAACCAACAAACAAATAACCAATTGATTTTATTTATTTTTTTAAAGAAATTAAAAAACAAACTGGCTGGCAGCTGAGTGTGGTTCCAGCAGGTCTCTGTGAACAGCTGGCAGAAACTGTCTCTTTATGCTGCCAACATCAGAAGAGGACCAATCAGCTCTCAGGAACCACTTGAATCTGTCACATGCTCACCACAGTTACACACCTCCAATCAATTTCACTCACACACATGCAAAGAGAAAGCCAAATAAAAATTCATCCATCCCTCTACTCCAACACCCCCCATCCCTAGGGCACAGGTTATCCAATCTTCAGACACTGCCTTTGATAAACATTATGATTTCTCAACCAAAACAACCAAGCACAGCTTCTATCAATAAATAAAAACCAAGAAAAGCTATAGGGCTGATAACATGACACAGTTTTTCATAGTCCCACATTACGTTCAGACATCGCAATCCCTTAGAAGCTGACATGAGAGGATCAACGTCGTATTATCTGACTTTGATTTAATGCCACACCATTATTGATGAATTAGATATCACTTCGACCTAAGGCATTTTCTTTAAAGCACACTAAATCTTCTCCATTGATCTCAAATCTCTCTTGTTAGTGCTCTGTGAAACTCTTTTTTTATCTGCGAGTCTGCACACGAGTCAAATACACAATCCTGCACTTGGGCAGAGACTGTTGAGAATACTGTGCACTGCAGGATTAATGATAGGGCAGTAGAGTCACTTAAAGCTGACAAATCAAAGGCTCATCCTTTTTTTTTTTTTTTTTTTAAAGACTCAAGTCTGATATCAAAGAACAAAGAACTTTTGAGACGTCTTCCTGGAAAATTAAAGGGTCCAAAGAGTTTGTACCTCTGTACCGGATTTTGGTCTCCTAATTACAAATCAGCTCCTTGATGCTGGTCCTTTATGGCAATTATTATCTTTAGCGATAAAGACGTTCAAAGACACACCAGATACTAAGGCGTTGATGGCTCCTGATTTATTCATGTGGACTAGTCTGACTGGAGTGCATGTCAAGTCCATGAGCGTTTTAATGATGTCACCACAGTGACAGAGGAGGAACTACACAGACACAGTTGTCCGACAATGATCATATAACTCTCCATACAGTACCTTCGTAGCTTTTGCTAATGAACGTACCACAGCAACCAGTTTCATCAGTTTTCCGTGACATGCTCGTATCTCAAGTCACTTTTTTTACTCTTGGCCTTGTGGCAGTTGCCTCCATGTATTACCTTCGGTGCGTCCTCTACCAGTGTAAATGCGTAAATGCTCCTTCTGCGCATATAATTGTTACCGCCCATTTTACGAAGTGATTATGACTATTAGTTTATCAACATAAGCCAATCAGAGGTAAAGAGTGCGTTGGCACACAAGTGAGAGAAAAAAAACCCAAAGCACTTTCATCTCCTCCCAGGGTTTGTTGACTTATGCCGCGCATCGATCAATCAACGAACTAATTTCTCGATTCGTTTCCTACAAGATAAAAGAGGAAATAATTATCTTAAAACCGACATGTAAACAAATTAAGGACCTAGATCCAAGCAAAGAAATGTAATCATAAATCTGTCTAAAGAAACATTAGGAGTCTTAAAAATAGCTTTCACAGTGTGAAGTCACAGACCTTGATGTTTAAAACCAAGCTAACAAGTCCTGGGATGAACCCGACAACCTTAAAACCGAGCGTTTGATTCGTAAACGGTGAAGCCATTAAAAACAAAAAAAAAAAAAACAGTGAAGTTTGAAGTTATTGCAGACTAACGCAATTTAAGAAATGCCCCCCTGATGTGTTTAAAAGTGAGAAACGGCATAATGACTCAAACTGAAAACATCCTCACAAACTATAAAGTCCCCCCACCCCAGGTGGTTTTACTGCTCCTCATAATCTATTTCACGTGCTTTGCTTGTAGGACCTGCTAGCAACTGCCATGGACGCCAGGATTGACTTCCTACGCTAAGCAATCAAAGCAGATCGTTGTGTGCGCAGAACACGTCCGTCGACTCTTCTAATCATCTCAGGACTACGAGGCTCTGATAAATCTGTCCCGTCTCTTGATTTATCCGCTGGAATATAGAACACGGTCTGCGCGTTTCCAGACCTGTCAGCGAGCAGCGGCGAATCCTGTCCGTCACCCAAATCAAATCCAAATGCACGAGCCGATCACTCCCTCATTCGGCCGCTGATAAGATTGTCTAGCTGATAAGTGAGCACCGTGACGTAGATGAGGGTTTAGAGCTTACGCTGTTGGCTGTTTACACTTCCCAGGTGCACAACACATCTGGTTTTATAGGAGACAACTTCAACTTTCTCTTTTAGTGTTGCCAGTGTTGGCTTTGGTCTGCCTGCTGGTTCTAATCTCTGACATGCACACACACACACACACACACACACACATTGCACACAGCACTCCTATATTTACCTCGTCATTTCACAGGATTACACCAGAGTAAGTGGTTGACCTTAAGGTTGAACCTTGGAACAGAGGAACTGATGACCTTACCACTGATGGTGATGAGATGGTCGCACAGGCATGATATATATTTGTCTGCTGCGAAACTAAACTTTTCCGATACTTCGGATACTATCTGACCAGACCAGTAGTTTAGGAAACTTAGACAGACTACTGTATTTTCCAGACTATAACTTTTTTTTCATCCTTTGGCTGGGTTTGCGACTTAAACTTATAGGTGAGACTTATATATTAAAAAATTGTTGTTTTCACACTGATATTCGCTAGAGGTCACGCAAGGCTTGTGTACCAGTATCGGCTACTACTGTAAGTTGCACTTCTTTTATTCTTTTTGGCTGGTGCGACTTATTCTCCAGAAATTATGGTCGTTCTAGTTTTTTGTCTGTCTATATCCCTACTTCAACGTCTCTGTCATTGGTGTGGAACCCCAGGGTTCACCTCCTGGGCAAGATCGAATCCCAGTTAGGGCGGTTGGTACCTTCCAGTGGACTCACCACCTAGAGGAAGGTTCTAGGGGGGTTGGTACGGTGCAGTGTGATTTGGGTGGTGACTGCTGCCCCTGCGACCCGGTAACGGATAAGCGGATGAAAATGGATGGATGGATGGATGGATGGATATATTCCTACTTCAAGCATGACTAGAAAAGACTTGGTTAAATATTATATGGGTGGCGCCTTGGCCCAGAGGCAATGTCTCTGTCATTGGTGTGGAACCCCAGGGTTCACCTCCTGGGCAAGACTGAATCCTGGTTAGGGCGGTTGGCGCCTTCTAGTGGACTCACCACCCAGTAGCTTGGTACGGTGCAGTGTGATTTGGGTGGTGACTGCTGCCCCTGCGACCCGGTAACGGATAAGCGGATGAAAATGGATGGATGGATGGATGGAAATCTTACATGGAGTCTGTGAGCAAAATTTCAAACACGACCTGCACTAAAGACGCAAGAAACCTGTCCTTTTTGTCTAATTGCGCCACCTGGAGCTTGTACTCAGGAAATAAGCGTAGACTTTTACTTGACTCGTTGCAGATCTGAGAGCAAATCATCTGCCGTGTCCAGCCATTTCAGGTTGTGTTACTGCCCAAGACGCTCACAGGGGAACATTTTCTTCAGAGTGAACGAGCTTCATCAAACGTCCTCACTGACGTCCTCACACCCATAAAACTTGTCTGAACCTCTCTGATCTCCAAAACAGCCCCAGTGACATCTGTCCCCGTTCCAGCATTGTGATTACAGTTACAGACACATTGGACAGGAACTAGATGTAGCACTTGAGGAAAGCAGCTCTCCTCTGTGTACGTGGGAGTGAGCGCTAGTCGAGATTTAGTAGATGGGACATGTGGTGCTGATGCTGCCGTTGCTGATTTTTTTTCTGTGATGAATTTGTCAAATTCATGATAACTATTAAACACATCTAACATATAGACATATTTAGGCTCCAAGATTGACATCTGTGCGAGGCACTGCCATCATCAGCACTGTGTTTTCCATGTGCGTGTGTGAATGAAGGTTACACACACACACGCACACACATCAATTCTCTGCTAATGAACGGCGCCTCACTCTTGTCAAACTGTGGCTGCGCCTGTTTTTTTTTTTTTTAAAAAAAAAAGGTTTGGGGATTCACAGAGTTTTTCTTGGCTTCTTTGACTGTTTGACTAAAGACAAATATATCCCAGTAAAAACTCATACGTTTAGGTGATAAACGATGTTACGTTGAAACCCACAGAGACGTTTTCTCTCTATTAGGGTGGTTTTTTTGTCTGTTTGTTTAATGTGTCTTCGGTGAAATTGTTTTTGGAAAATGTCCAAACTTACCCGCTGCTGCCACTGCCCTCTTCTGGAGGTATCAGGTGATGTTGGTTAGACGTAGAACCAGCATGGAGGCCACTGTTTTGAGTTTGACTAAGAATTGGTGCGGATCCCAAAGGACCATATTTTTCCGACTATCGCACTTTTTATCAACGGCTATGTTTGCGACTCATATATATATATATATATATAAATACAGTATATCCATCCATCCATCCATCCATCCATCCATCCATTTTCATCCGCTTATCCGTGCCCCCTGCTCACTTTCGTGATGGGTAAAATGTTCCTTTCAGATTGGGTCAGATTTCCATTGTCTACATTGGTGTGCTGTGTCGCAAGTAATTCATCCATCCATCCATTTTCATCCGCTTATCCATTACCGGGTTGCAGGGGCAGCAGTCTCCACCCAAATCACACTGCACCGTACCAACACCCATAAACCTTCCTGCAGGTGGTGAGTCCACTGGAAGGTACCAACCGCCCTAACCGGGATTCGAACTTGCCCAGGAGGTGAACCCTGGTGTTCCACACCAATGACAGAGACATTGCCTCTGGGCCAAAGCGCCACTAAATACAGTATATTTAAAATATAAATATATTCTTATATATCAACCAACATGTCTACAAAGAGATATTGCAGTGTTTGCTTCGTTCGGTGCGTGAGAAGAGGCGAGAGTTGTGGGAGGACAACGTGTTGTGGCTGCTCCACCGTGACAGTGCACCTGCTCACAATGCCCTGAGCATTCGACAGTTCTCGGCCAAGAAGAACATCGCCATTCTGGAGCAACATCTCCACTCCCCCGACCTAGCTCTGTGTGATTTTTTTTCCCCCCCTTTCCCAAGCTCAATAAGGGGTCATGAAGGGGACCCTAATGACAAAGACACAGGTTGAATATGATCACACTCATCAACGCCACCTACAGGAGGAAAGGGAGACAGACATACCTTGCAGTTGTCAATCAATTCCCCAAATTTCGATTGGCCAAATTCCTAATAACTTAGCTTTCTTAACTCACGCCCAACTTGCCACTGCTTGCACCTTACCTCCCCCCCCCTGTCTCCCCCACCAGGCAGGCCCGCCCCACTATTTAGGAAGTACTGCCCTAGACTCAGCAGTGACGATGACAATTTTGATGACTGTTACAGCGTGTTAGCCTGTAATAATGATTACATTTAGCAAAACATTAGTAAAAAAAACCAATGTATAGTGAGTCAACAGCTACAAGAAAATAAATTAAAAAAAATTAAAAAAAATGACAATTATAGTCGCAAAACGTTCAATCAAATTGTCTAACTAAAAACAATTCTAAAATACATTTTTAAAAATTTGAGTTTCTTGACTTTCATACACAAAACTAAGGTCGAAATGTTTTGTCCCACTCCTGTCCCATGGACCAGACTTTAGGCACATGTGTAGTCTAGTCATAGTTTTGAATGTTTAATAGAAGTGGGTGGTCTGCAGCTCAGAAGTAAATGTGTGTTTGAAGAGCTGTTTCCAGCTCCTGACCTTCAGCTTTTCTGTGCTGGAACATTCTGATGCTTATTTGGACGGTTCTTACACACACTCACAAACCACCATTAGGTGCTGTCTCTGATAAACAGACTGATTGGATTGTTTTTTGTGTGTGTGTGTGTGTGTGTGTGAGAACATGTGTGGTTCCTGAATCTCACTGCTGCATTTGTCCTCGAGGATATTCCGAATAAGAACCAATTTAATTTAAGGACTTCAAGGACGCGGACATGCACCCACATGCGATTGTGCTTCACACACAAACTGATTTTCTCTGTTGATCTAGTCTGGTTAAAATTCCTCAACTAGTCTGAGTCTGTCTGAGGCTGAGTTTTGCTCTTTTGTTATATTATGAGATCATTTTTGTGGTTTTTTATTTTAAAATTTTAACTAAAATATTTACTACATAGTCTTTTAAGACAATGAAAAGGTCTGGTATTTGTGTCCTACTTTTCCTCAAAATGTCTTTGTCAATAAAATTGACTTAGACCCTTGTTCGCATGAACAGCCTAATAAACCACAAAGTCACAATCTATTCACGATAAAATAGGCAGTTTATCTCCTTGGAAGAGGACCATGATCCTTTTAACTTTAGAAAATTGCAAAGCGGTTTTGAGTAGAGAATTCCGCGTATCTCACTCTGTAAATATGTTAACGTAAATAATGTTGATTGTAACATCGCTAGCCTGAGAAATGAGTCAACTAATTAAACCAGGGGTGTCAAACATATGGCGCCCGGACCAAAACCAGCTCGCTGGGGGGGTTCACTCTGGCCCGCTTGATAAAAAAAAAATTCAAATTATATTTCATTAAATATATAAATATTTTCAAATACTCTTCTTCGTACTTATTTGTATGAAAACACCTGCGTCGCCACTCCTGTGCTCTTGTGTATTTCATTTATTTACGTAATATGTATGTCATATATTTCCATTATACAACTCTATACTGTGCATAGACAGTAATTGTGTGGGAAAGGGTAATACAGTCTATGGAGGGTTGATAACTGATAACCCTGACTTCATGAGAATCAATGAACAGGTCAGTTGGCGCTGACCGAAATGAGTGTCCAAAATGATTGTGCATTTTCCTACGGTACATGATAAGAATGAAAGTTGACTTGTAATTACGATATTTCACAATAACCAAAGAAGTGGGGGAAAAAAAATCACCCCACACCTCTACACATTTTTGTCTGTTTAGGTCTTGATCCTCCTGCAGTTTAAACTGTGATTGTAGAAATTAGTACTAAATCAGGAAACTGCCCCAGGAACTAGTAACTGTAACAAGAACCTAAATGAAGTCTTGTCACTGGAGCTCCAATAAAAAAAAAGATCTTCTGGTATGTTCATGGACTGGTTTGTAAAACTGCTTTTATTTCATGGTTTACTAACAATTTGCTTGTTTGTTTGTTTTGTGTGACAGACGCATCTCAGGGAATCAGCTGAGATACATCTCAGGCCATGCCCTCCAGGGGCTGCACAACCTCAAAGTTCTGTAAGTATCATTCTGAGCAACCCGTCGGAACGCTGTCCAAACCTTCTGAAATGTGAGCAAAAGACAAATTACGAAATGAGGTCACGTAAAGCACACGGGCAACACATTGTTAGGTAGAGTCATGGTTTGTCGGCTCGTCAAATAAGTTGAGCACAGTTCATTACTGATCGCTCATCTACATGCATTATTTTCTGAACTCGAAGCAAGACCGAGGACACGATCTTTTCACTGAAGGTCCGAAAACGCAAGACTTCACCGGGTGCCGCCCACAAACCTAATCTTTAGACAGATCACCACATTTAACGTGACGTTGGCATTGTAACCCTGCTTCAACAAAACCCTAAAATAATACAGTGTATTAAATCAGTTCAACCAGATTTCTGCAGTCTATTTCTGTCTATTTTTGTAGTTAAATTAACACAAAGAAATCCCCCCCCCCACCATTTTAGTCTGGGAATTGAAATGCTGTGATCAGCATGTGACACTGACACACTAAAGGCCTCTGTGCGTTAACATCAGATAACTCTGATGACGGAAAAAACTTAAAAGGGAATAGGAGAAGGAAGCCAGAGAAGGAGGAGCAAGAGGAGAAATGAAGGGTGGGTGGGGGGAGTGGGTGGGCAGAGAGGGGGGGCTATTGTTTTCTTCCTACTTCCCTTCCCTCTTTCTGCTCAATTCTTCTGAGGATGACATCAGCAGCCCACCCAAGAAGCTTTTTTTTCTTTCTTTCCTATATCATCTGATCACTGCTTTTCCTCAAAGTTCTCCTCTCGTGTCAGACCCTCCACCGCCACAGAGGAGTTATTTGTCTTGCTTGATCTGCTGGTTCAAACAAAAGTTTTCTCAACGTCTCCCATGATTGTGCACTAACACCTGCAAATGTTTTTTGCAGAATGCTGCAAAACAACCAGCTGGAAAGACTTCCTAACCAGGAGGATGATAATAATGATGCTTCATGGGATTTACCCAACCTTCTTTCTTTGTAAGTCAGTCTGTCTCACACACACACACACACACCAGACAAACACTAATCATGCTACTGAACCAAATCCAAAAGGAAGGAAACTTCCTCTGACCACCCACCTACTCCTCTGATTCTTAACCACAGTACGGGGTACAGACCACAGATCACAAACCAATTTGTCTAGTAACACAAGCGTGCATTAATTCCGTAATCTGAATTGAAATGACCGTAGGTGTCAAATACGTAACATCGGGAAGTAGGTCATCTTTCAAGCAACATGTCGGGTCTTCAATCCCCAGTCCAAATTGTGTACCTCGTCAAAGATTACAGTGCATCCACAACTGCATCCTGTTGCCCGGCATTTAAATCCTTTGCTGTTAATGAAAGACAAGATGGAGTAGGTTAGGGCGGTTGGTACCTTCCAGTGGGCTCACCACCCTCAGGAAGGTTCGGGATTTGGGTGGCGGTCATAGAGACTGCTGCACCCTGCGACTCGGTAACGGATGAAAATGGATGGATGGATGGATGGATTCGTTTAACAACAACTCAGAGCTATGACGAGCTTTCCGAAATTTACACTATACCCGGTGTAGTGATGTAAGAGATTTGGGAATTAGCATAGGCAGCATTAGCCTCTTGCCCTGCCCAACAGTTTCACACTAAGGGTTTTCCTTCATTTGCGAAGTAATTACAATATAGAACAATTCGATCCCTCACGATG